TCTAGATCTTCTAAGTTGAGCCAAACAACGCTACAAAGCTACATATCTAAAAAAAGATTAATAGAAAAAGAGTAATCTAGAGCCTAGTAAATATACATGTATTAAGGAAATCCTAAAATCTGTAATTTTAGGTTAGGATCAACAGTAAAGCTAATATAACTTAGGAAATCCACTTTGCTATCCAAACATACAAATTTGGTTCTCAATCAATTTGTTCTCATAGGTATAATCTGATGTTTCAATATCAAACCCAAGCCAACCAACTACGGTTATCAACATTTCTAAATCCACTTCTTACAGTTGTAGTTTTACACGAAGCACCATTTGTACAATTCCATGAGAAATTAAGGAAACCTATGCAACATAATTCTAGATATGAAAGGCACATAAAAATGATGCCAATTTTTTAAATTTAAGACATATATATGACTCCTACAATTTATTAAGAACTTTAATTCCACCAACTAGGGTTTCGAAATTTTGAGGCCTTTCCAAATAAAACAAGGCACAAGTGATATGTTCTCAAACTAAAATGCAGGAGAATTAGACACATTACAGTCATAAATCTTGAATACCTAGCTAGTCACATGATACATGAGTTGAGTGATACAAATTTTATATGTAGAAACTACCACATATACCCCATAAACCCATATTGGAAAGAGGAGAAGAAACTCCTCTCTCAAAGGAGACAAAACCACAAACCCTAATGCTGTGTTTGGTTGGAGTTTTTGAGGTGGGATTTAGAAAAGGAATGAGAAATGTAATCCTATTTATGTTTGGTTATAATAAAAAATATATGGGAAAAGAAAAGGGGTGAGAAATAAATAAAGAAATAGGATACCTTTTAGGACATCAATTCTATTTTATAACCAACACAACCAAACATAGTTGGGATTTGGAATTCTATTAATTCTTTCTCCTTTTCCTTTCATTTCCATTTCCCTTTCCATTTCCCTTCCCAAATCCCCCAACCAAACACAGCGTAAGTTGAGAGATGCGAGGGAAAACAACTTCCAAACTGATGAGTAGAAAGAGAACATCTTTACATCTTTAGTTTGGTAAGAAACCAACTACAAAGCCTTCAAATAAAGTGATTAATGCAGAGTAAATGAGAGAGAATAAAGAAAGAGTGCTCTGAGAGTGTTTATCGTAAGATGAAATGAGTCAGGAAGAGAAGTCTGACTAATATAGGTGAAACAAGCCAAAATGCAGAGTTTAGAGAAGAAAATTGTGACTCAGGACTAGACCAAATGTCTGCCCGGTTGATTGGCCCAAGGCCAAAATTATGAGAAAGAGTCATCATCATTCACGGTTGATCCACTGATAACTCCAGTTGATTGGTCCATCCCATAAATCCCCTATGCAGCTAGCACCTGATAAATCTAAAACTACGCGCAATTTCACAAGTTCCAATGCAACAATAATACTAATCAAGGTATGACACGAATAGAGTATAACGGGTATCATGAGACATACACAAATCAGATTTAAGACTCGAGTTGCAACATTTAGATTATAAGATTACCAAAAATGTTTCTAGAGAACCTTTCTATTTTTATTATTATCATAATTATTTTGAAATTTTGCAGCTTAAACTCATTTCTATGGAAATTTTGAACTTTATGAGGCATACATTCATTTATTTAACCAAGTTTTTTTTACCCCAAATAGATTTAAAAGTTTACTAAAGCATACCAATAACATTTCTATATAGATATGAATAAACCAATTATATGCTTGGATTGCTCAGACTGTCATGCTGATTTGTTTTGGTTGGTTGCTCACCAACTTCAAGTGCTAGCAAATGATAGGATAGGCTTTTTGGTGCCAATATAGTTGAATTGATTTAGCTCACTATGAAGATTTTGCACTTTCCTCTCTGTATTGATGTAAATTTTCTTGTACTTTGTACTTTGCTATTTCATCAATATAGTTGCTTTTTTGCGGATAAAAAAAAAAAAAAAAAACACTTTAAAGATTTGTATTTAAATAAAAATAGTGTTGGTAGATAAACATAAAGTGTGAGTCTCCACGGCATAATATACTCACTTCTAAATATACAAAAAATTATAAGTCACAACTATAAGAGTTGGCTCCCATGTGGAGTAAAAACGTCATCCTCCAATTCTAAAAATTAGTAGTAGAAGCATAGGATTAGGAAAATAATTAAAGAAATGATGCAACACTTGCGTGGTTGACTGTAAGCATGGCATGTAAGTTAAAGACCTTCTCTAATGTTTTCAAGACATCAAGAAAACAAACTACACAACTCACAATATCACCAATTATACAACAAGATGTATTTCTATAGAGCCATCTAATTTGACAACACCATCCCCACAATTTAAAATTCCCCAATATATCATTTATAAGTCAATTTCAACATATAAATTCCCTAACACCAAAAGCCCTAAATCTACGTCACATTCAAACCTTAGATTTATCTAATTTCAATCTCCAAAACAACCATCAATTCAACATTTTTCCCACATTAAAAAACATCCATAGGAACTAATAGGAAACATAGAACTCAACAAAGAAATCTAAAACATGATAGATTCAAAAATTATGTTCTCTAACTCAAAATATGTAAGCAATCAAGCTTGAACTTCTTAGAGAAATTCTTACCAATTAAAATCTTCTAATCCATCTTTCAAACAAAACCCAAAACCCTAGTTTTTGAAAATATTAAGAAAATATATAGTTTGAGTATGATTTTTCTTTTCTTTTTTTTGGGTAGGCAGGTCGGAGCTCTTTTCATCGAGCAAAGGGTGGTCGCAAGTGCTGGTGATGGTGGGTGGAAGTGGTGGTGCAAGGGTGGAGCTATGGAAGTATATTTGGATAGCAAGAAAGTGTCAGATTATGCTATCTAAGATGGGTTTGGGTGTTCAGTAGTTATAAGAGTGGTCTCCCAAGCCTTTCTATATCCACCCCCTAGAACAAACCATACTCGAAAAGGCAAGTATATTCCTAGCTGACTTAGACATCACCCATTGTACAGCAAAGATAACCATATCTCAAACATATTATAAGAGTGATATCTTAGAGTTAGAGCTTGTTCGATTAATTGTTTTCTTTGAAAACTTGGTTTGAGATGATAAGAGGTATTAGAAAGGTAGAGATTTTTTGGTACCTTGGTATCTAGCCCAATAGATTTGACCAATCCAAGGGACCAATTACACCATCCACTACCGGGTGGCCCATTTAAAGCTGGGACAAAGTCCTAAATGGACTAGCCCCAAGAAGTTGTTTGCACCTACGAGGTTTCAAACATGAGACATTGGAGGGAGCAAAGGTAGAGGTTGTTTTCATTCTTTTCTCATTTTGAATTAAAGTTAGGTGTGTGTGTAATTTTTTTATTTAGTTTTGGTGACATCATAAAAGGTGATGGGTAAATAAGAGGAACTGTAAAAGAGTACTCAAAGGATAGATATGCTTGCTACCTTGAAGAATCTACCAAGATAAGAGCAAGAACAAGAAGAATAGTTGGGTTTTTGGGTCAAGCTCTATTGTATATGCACTCAACAAATATAATTTTGTTCTCAATTCAATTCTTTACATCACCATAGCTGCCAGGCTTTTTCTCTCAATCTCTCATTGAGACTTCTTTTCACCTCTGGTTTTCTATTATACCTTTCTGCTTAGGGCTTTTCCTTTCCTCACTCTTGAAGGCTCACACTTTTCTTATCTTATACTTGTACAATTAAACTCAAAACACTTATTTATACTTGAATAAGATAATTCTAGACTCATCTCATTATGAGAGTCCACCTTGGAACTCTAAAGGACTTTATCTAAAAACAAACCGCCATTAAGTTGAACAACTTCCGCAATATTCTAGGCTCTCTAAATATGCATTAAATTTCCAATTACTTTCCAACAAACCAAAGGCTCAAATTTCATTTAAATTCTTTAGGAAAGTTTATATATCATTGTCAATTTGTCACCGTCCAACCATAGGTACATTTCCAAAGCTAAAAATTACTATCTTAACTACACCAAAGCCAAGAGAATGAAGATGGAAAATTTTAAAATATATGATTTGGGAACTAACCAAACACAAAGAAGGCTATGAGAACTTGAAAGGACTGCAAAACAAATGGTACAAGAGTGTTGGAACCACGTTGATCATGGGTGGGATGAAAACTAATTTGGAATTTACCCCAATTAATTTGGAATTTACTATTAAGTTGAGCTAAAAATCAAATATGCAACATTGAGAAAGGACTATAATTTCAACCAATATTGCTTGAACATTTGGTCTGAGCCTAAGAAGTGGTGTTGTCTTCATGTCGAACATTGATACTTGTGGACACTTCCTAATACATGTCAAACATCGACGCACATGGACACTTCCCGGCATTTGTCATACATGCTCCCAAATGTGTCTTATTATTTTAAAAATTTCCAGAACAGGATATGCTTTAGATTCTTCAACAATTTTTTCATCATGTGACAACATTTGCAGACACACTGGCCCTCAATTTGGTTGCCAAAACTACCCTTTCAGTGACACAGTTTAAAGCATGTCATCCATAGTGAATTTACTTCTCAATCCCCTATCCACATGTATTTATCACTTTATCATGGATGAAACATGTTGCAAGTTTAAATAAAATAAATTATGGTCCAATGATAAAACAAAAATAATGTACATATATACTTATAAATCCATTCTCTTTCAAAGCTTTCTAAAATAAATGCAAGTACTTCTTCTTTACCCATCTTTTCCAATATATAGAATGCAGGAAGAGGTGCCCCTCCTACATATTGCAGAGTCAGCAGATTAGTAGTATGATTGTTGATGAGTGCTGCAAATTTGTATAGTTTATTGCTTTGAATCTTGTAGTGATCACATTTTTTGTTCATTTCAAATTCCCCCCCTCCCTACCCCCCCCCCCCCCCCCCCCATATGATATGACAACTGTGAAGATCAATCAATTATGTTTAAATTTAAATGTTGTTACGAGTAATTTTTTTCCTTTTTTCTTGTGGAGACGCCTCAGTATTAACAAGACAATAGACCGGTATCAGAAAAATGCAAAGGACCTAGGAAGTAGCAATAACGCAGCTCAAGAAAATTTGCAGGTTAGCATTACTCGTTTATCTATTTATTTATTTTTTGTATCAGCAGTTAGCAGTAACTCCTTACCATTTTTCTTGCAATAATGGTTAAGATGTAATTGATGCTTTCAATGGCAACATTTTTCTCCTTTAAAAAAAAGCTTGCCAATTGCCAAACTGAAACTTGCAAGTTGCAACATTTATGTAATTCTACATCTCGTAGTTATGCGCCATTTGGTATTTAGGAAATACAATAAGGGAAAAGTGGGATCACTAGAAGCCTATATCCCTGCAGAGAATGATTTTTGCAACACAAAATTGACGTACTTTAGCAAGTAAGAAAACTTCATTTCTTAAAAGTGATCATTTTTCTGATGTCAGTTTTCATGCGTAGGGAAGATCCCTAGATATATAGTTATTATCACATTTTACATGTTATTATCTCATATAATATGAATTCTTTGCGTAATATGGCTTTCCTAAATAAAATGACACGCAACATATAATTTCTTAAAACAATTAGAGCCTTCAGGAGTACAAGGAAATAAATTAGCTTAACAATTAATTTTGGCTGTCGCATAGTGTGTAATTTAGATTTATTGTAAAGTTTTCTGACATGATGAGTTCTACTACACTATGCAACCATCTAGACTGCATTCTATTACTTTCCCGGAATCCTTCACCTCTTTCTGTTTAGCACATGAAATCTGGTAAAAGAGCCTGCATAGTGCCTCATGTGAAAAGGCCAGTCGCTCAATTTTTCTTGAGTTGTAAGTTTGCTTGGTTGATGAGAATTCATAAGCTTTGAGTGCACCGTAGTTCTGTTATCTCTGTGAAGTTGCATTTTGTTTGTTTCTGTTATTTCTTGTTGCTGAAAAAGAATTGACAAATTGCAGTCTTGTTTCACCGCAATCATATGGATGTGAGTAAATTAGTTTCTATAACAAAAAAATGAAAGGGTAATAAAATGGCCCTCTGGTTCTTGAGTGAGTCCTAAAGAAATTAGTCTCAAAATCTTCATTCAAATAGCTGTACTGCCTATTACAAAGATGTATGCGACATCATTGTCACTCTCACAACCACTGCTTCTCCATGCAGCATTTGAAGGAAGAAGCTGTTTCCTTGTCAGAGAAGATTGAACTTCTTCAAGTCTCTAAACGGTTCGAGTCTTAGTTTCAGATCTTTATACCCTGATATCATTTTTATTTCCATATAGCAACAATGATCATATTGACATGACTCAACATTATTGAAATCTGCATTCTGTAGAAAGCTCTTGGGAGATGGTCTGGAATCAAGCTGTATCGATGAACTACAACAAGTACAAGACCAGATTGAGCAAAGTTTAAGCAAGATTAGGGCAAGAAAGGTATATCAAAAGTCTCATCATCCTACTTCTCAAGTAAAAATTATGAATTAAACCCACAATCTAATACAGTTGATGTCGCTAATTCTCAGACTCAGGTATTTAAAGAGAAGATTGAACAACTGAAAGAAGAGGTAATCTGTGTACTAATTAGGATTATCTTGAGATTTGCTAATTTCTGCAACTTTTTTTTTTCTTTTTGGTTGATAATTTTCATAATTCAGGAGAGGATCCTAACAGAAGAAAATGCAAAATTACGAGAAAAGTTGAAGGTATAATTCTGTGAAAATCTACATTTTATTTGCATTTAGGGTATGCAGGATATATATTTGCAAAGTACCCTTTGTGCCTGTTTGGCAGAACTTAAAAACAGCTTATTTCAGCTTTCAGCTTAATTTAAGCTATTTTGATGTGTTTGGTTTAGCTTATAGCTTATAGCTTATAGCTTTTTGGAAGTCAGAAATCAGCTTATTCTTTGAGTGGGACAGGAGATGCTTAATTTATAAGTCAGAAATCAACTTATGTTCATAGTTATAAGCTATAAGCTGTTTAGGCATAAGCTATAAGCACTTTCCCACAGCTCTACCAAACAGGGCCTTTGTCCCAAATTGTGGCATGGAAAATGAGAACATACAAATAATGTGTTTCTGGTGTAATATATTTCTAGTGTGTAAGCAATAGACGTGTTCGTTAAGTATATGAAGTATGCTGACTCAAGAAAATTTTAAAAATTATATCAGTCCATTAGTCCTCACATGTAAACTCAACTTCTTAAAAATGTCTCTACTTCTTGGCGACTTATCAGATTCTCAAAGTTGCCAAGACTGATCATATTAATTCACCACCATTGATTTCCTTCTTTGTTTGCTGATCAAAAAAATATTAATTCAACTACCATTGATTCTTCAGTGTGATCAGATGGAATTGCCATGTTTGGCGTTTGCACAAGAAGTTCCAACCCAGAGAGAAATTTCAGATGTGGAGACAGAATTGTTCATTGGACCACCAGACGAACAACGAACTACCCGTTGGCTGATACAATCTTCAACTGCCATTAATGGAATGCGATTGCGATACAAGAAACCAGAATCATTTCCAGGCTTTGAGTGTTGAATTTGATCTGCTCCTCATAAAATAATTATGAAGCCAGACTGGCCTAATAACTGAAGGAATTGTACAATATTATAGAAACTCAATGGTTGGTTTGTTTAGTCTTATATATATTATATTTGTGAGGGAAGAGTGTTGTATATCATAGGAAATTGAAATTGTAATTTGTGTGTTTTTTTTTTATTTTAATTATTTTTCAACTTGTTATGTGGAACTAATCCAATTACTATTCTTCGCTTTTTCTTTCTTAGAATTATGGAAGAAACAAGAATGATTGTATTATTACTGATATCTTACTAAAATCAAATTATTATTTTTAGTCATTAATGAATATCACTTTATCTGTCTCAACTACTACTTGATCTAACAACTTATATATTTTGACTTATTCAATTATGAAAATACAGCACTTTCCCTTTCCAAAAAGGATTATTTGTATGATTCTCAAATATTCTCCATTTAAAACCTCTCCATCACTGTAGAAGACCCTCCACATCATCAGGAAGTACCCACTGTACCCCCACTAACAAATCATATAAATCTGGAAGGCATTACCATTGGCGATTATGTGGTCAATCTGCAAACTTAGGAATGAAGTGGTCTTCAATGGGAAGCAAGTTCAATCTGGAAACTAAGGGGCGTTTGTTTTCAGTGCTGGAAATCATCAATAATTTGCAGCAGATCAGTTTCAACCCTTAGATTGGTTGTAGCTAACAGAGCTAGTATGTTGGGCTCTTTTTGCAACTGACTGTAGCTTTGTTTGCTGCTTTTTATTCACAATTCCCTTGGCTTGAACTAGCACATGATCAGGCGTTCTTCTTGATGTCAACCTAATTGAGATTTGGAAACTTCGCTATGATGCTTTTTACTCTTGCCTTCACTCTTTATTGACGTATTCTTCTATGTTTCATATGTTTTCATACGCTGGTTCATCAATAAAGTTTTCCAATTACTGAACATAGCACATGATCAGGCGTTCTTCTTGGTGTCAACCTAATTGAGATTTGGAAACTTCGCTATGATACTTTTTACTATTGCCTTCACTCTTTATTAATGTATTCTTCTATGTTTCATATGTTTCTTCTATGTTTCCATACGCTGGTTCATCAATAAAGTTTTCCATTTACTGAACAAAAAACGAGAGGTAACTGATATTTATAGATAGTTAAGAGGATATTCGTATATTTATTTATTTATTTATTGATAAATTACACTGATCACTCCTAATGTTAAAAGAAAATATAATAAGTTTCACAATTTTAATATGATTATACTAATCTCATTTTTAGAAAGTTAAATAGATCGAAACTAATATTGATAGTACGAAAACACAAAGATAAAGTAAACTATACATTGTTGTGTGAAAGATATGACAACATTAATTTTTTTATTCATATGATCATCAAATTATTGATAAAAATAAACTAAATGATATGTGAATTAAAATCTTAAAAGAACTCAATATAATTATGTTAAAATTGTGAAATTTATTATACTTTGTCTAAATCTCTAGGCGGTCAATTTAATTTACCCTTATTTTTTTAATCAGTGAAAAAAAAAGTTAATGTTATTATTATTATTTTTTTTGTAGTTTGGGTGTCTCTTTGGAAACATAATATTTTAATCAAAAAGTTAATAAGAAAGCAAAAAAAAAAATTTAAAAGATTCTTTTTCATTCACTCTACTTGGCACTTTTTTTCTTGTCGATGAACATAACAAGAAGTTAGAGTAAAAACTGTTTACTCTAGAAATAAAAAAAATATTACTTTCTAGAAAGAAAACAATAAATAAATAAGTAAAAAAAGAAGAAGAGGAAGAAAATATTAGCTTATTGTCAATCAAGCAAACTTAGTAGTGAACAACATCAAATAAAGAGATAAAAAAGAAGAAGAAAAGAATACAATATTTTTGACAAAGATAAATTAACACTCCCCTTAAATTTAAGTAGGCAGATCACCTTTAGCTTGGAAAGAAAAATTAGAAATATAAAAAATAAAAATAAAAAGTCTGTGAGAGACTTTTGATTTTATTTTTGATACAACAATGACAATTGATAATAGAACTTATGGATCCGTGGTTTGAGAAGAGCGTGGAAAGGAGAAATCAAAAGGCCTAAGGCCTAATCACAAAGGGTTAATTTTTGGAATTACATCCTAAGGAGCTAAGACTCAAAACTCATCAGTAACTGGTGCTATACAGAAGAGTCATTTAACCATAAAGCAGTAAGTCGAAAACTTGCACATATAATTAAGTTGAAAACTCGCACACATGGTTAAATAGCTCTGTTGTGTTTGATAGGTCGAGGCTGACAAGGTATGGAGAAATCAAAACGCGTAATGTACAAAGCTCAATACGTCAGGAAACATAAGATGCAAAGTCTAATAGCGATGGATTGAGAAGAGAAAATGTATGACTGAGACTTGACAGGATTTAATTTGAGTATTTTATTTTGTGGGTTATGTGATTGGATTCTTAGCCTTGCATGCTTACTTATATGAGTGTGCGGCGTTGTCACAGAGCTTGGGGCGTGACACATCTATGGCTTGTTTTGAAAACATAGTTAAAAGTAATTTTTTAATTTTTTTTGAGTCACATTTCCTTCCTATTTTTATATGTTTTTTTCAAAAAAAATTAAATAAAAAAAAAATTAACTTTTAACTCACTTTCTAAAATAAGTTGCACATAGTAAAATGTATCCAATCAATATGATGCAATTAATTAAAAGAAGAGAGAACAGAATTCGTTGAGTGAAATAGATTGTGGCTCACATGAGCAGGATTTTTACCACCGACACAAAAGAAATAATGCTAGACATTATAAAAAAAATATATATCAGGAAAGATTTTCCACCATTAGATTACACATACAATAAAACCCAACACATTAATCAAGTGATAAAAAATCTTTATGAAACATTTCATGATATTTTTTTCATGATCCCTAATATTATTCCATTGGACATAGACTCTATCCGGTTGGCAAATTAACTGCAAAGGATTGTTAGTCTCGGTAGGCCCATTTTAGTCATTCAAATTGTATAGAATATTTATGAAAATATTAAATTGATTGGGTATTAATAATTATTATATTTGTTCTTAAGAAATGAGGATAATTATAATTTTAAAAATATATTATATATTTATCTATTTTAAAACAAGAGGTTTTTATTTTAAGGTCTTTATTATTAGGATTTTGTAAGGTAAAGGCATAAACATGTTTATAATAGTTGCGACCCCTCAACAGTTTCATAGAGATGAAAATTTCTAATTATTCACAGAAAAAATTTGAAATTTGTTTGTGACAAGCTGAAATTTTTCTAATAATATTATTAAAGAATCTTAACTAATAAGAAAAAAACATATTAAACGTTTCATACTACCCAAAATTAGAGAATGATATTTCACTAATATTTTCTCAAAACAAATGTGATGTGATCTCAATTACCTCGATAATAATCATCTTAATTTTTTTTATATAGATAATTTTATAAAATAAATACTTATAATTAGTTCATTTAAGACTTGTTTTGGTTGGGAAAATAAAAAAAAAACTGTTGCTTGTTTTTTTTTGCTTTTGTCATAAATTCATTTGGGAAGTATTTATTTATTTATTTTTACTTTTTATAAAATATTATAATATAATGTCACATCATTTGTGAATATTATAAAATTATCATATATAGTGGCAAATTTTATCATATATAGTGTACATGCTTGAAGTTATCATTTTATCCTCCTTATTTAGTGGCAAATTTTATTAATTTTCCTAAAGGTATTTTGATAAATTTGTGTTATGGTTTATTTGGTCTTCATAAAAGAAAAAATGTTCCAAATAAACAGCTTTTTGTTTTTTTAAAAAAGCAAAAAAGTTGTTTATTTTGTTCTTCTCAAAATGGCCCTAAGCTTAACAGGATTGCGGGCAGTAATCTTTAAGGTCTAAAAAAAATTAATAAAAGGGGAAGATAGGATTATGATTGGCTAGAGAGAACAATTATTAATGGTTTTTTTTTTCTTTAAAGAAAAATGATATGAGGAAGAAAATATAGGTTTAGATTTCGTTTGAGTCTAAAATCAAATGTTGTTGGGTTTCGTAGGTCTATCACAAAACTCACATAGATGATTCAAACTGAGAGGGTAATTTTTGGAAAAAATTAGGCCGAGCTTCAAGTTGGGCTTTGAGGCCCAAAACGCAAAGGACTAAGTAAAAAGGCCGTAATGGATACTCCGGCCTAGGGGGCAAGGTTACTCCGGCCTTGGGGAGACAAAGTTACTTCGGCCCAAGGAGGTGAGATTACTCCGGCTCAGGAAGAAATAGTTGCTTCGGCCCAAGGAAGAGTAAATCTATTCCGGTCCGGAGGCAACTCAGAGTCAGGCCGGTCTCAGTGTTAGTCCGGTCGCAGTATGTTCTGGGAAGGCCGGTTTCGGAATTAGTCCGGTCGTGACTTACAATGGTTAGGTCGGTCAGAACTCGTTATTTGAAAGTTTGATCTAAGCACACCAAGGTTGAACAGGGCAGCCGAAGTAAGGAGTTAGAGGAGAAGACCGAGCTAAGATAGTTCGGCCCTCTGTGGCTCGGTATAGCCAATTTTACTTCGGTCAAATGGAAGTTCGGCCATAAAGAAAACCATCCCACTTGGTTTAAGCAGTGGGGGAGGGTGTAAAAGGATAAGCATTATCCTTAGGAGAATAAATCCTGGGAGGACTCTGCATGGAGAAGTACAAGTCCTACTAGGATTGTGCTACGGGAAACTTATAAAAGCTCACAAGCATCACCTTGGAGGAGGTAATTGAACACAACCTTTTTGAGAACATAAAACTTTGTCTATTTGTCAAGCTTACTGACTTAGGCATCGGAGAGGTTTTCGGTACACACCCGCCGACTAGCTCACGTTTGTGTTTTCAGGTGACAGAGCGACGTCGTACGGAGGAGCGTGGACTTGGTCAACAGGATTATACGAGGAGAATTATTTCCTCCCCGTACACAAACCATTTAATGTATAAATCTTATCGATAGTCAATTGATCCAATTAAATTTGTGTCAATGGTAACTATAATTTTAAAAATAAATTGCTAACACAAATATGATATAATCAAATAACTATTGATATTTGATAAATATAATTTTTTGCAAATATGAAATATTGGATAAGTCTTACATATTAAATAGTTTGGATTATCGATATGGATTTCGTAATGAGGCCACAGAAACCCAACAATATAGTTCAATTGAGAAACCCAACAATAGAGAAATTGTTCCCAAAATATAGTTAAAGAAAAAGGTAGGAGTACAGGACACGGGGCTGAAACTTTCCTTCACAAAAAGAAAAT